CAGCAGGCGGAGTCCTTATGCCCTTTCCAAGGTGCATTTTGTGACAGGCCCTCCTGTTGCGACTCATGCTGTGTTTGTTTGCTGCTCTGGACCTCATCGAGGTGCTCAGGCTCCAGTGCTGTGGGCTGCCCTGCCTGCTGGCTCTGGGTACAGGAGCATCTGTTACTTGGAGCCTCTGGAGGCAGGGAGTTAGATGTGGCCGAACAGGTTGAGAGCAAGGCAAAAGTCCTGAAGAAACTTGTCAATCTGGACATCATTTGGTTTTTATTTTGTGTTGGGCCAGCCACTTCTCATGCAGACATGCTTGAGCTTTCAGCTGGCTCCTGGAGGATGGCGTGTGGTAGCTGCAAGTACACTGGGAAAGCCAGGTGTCAGCCCCTGTTCAAACATGCCGTGTCAAGGGGGACGCTGTCAGCAGTTAGCTGAGCCACTGTAGAGCTTGTTCACACACGTTGTGAAGGGACAACAAAAGTAAAATCGTCTCCTTGCCTCTTAAGTGCTGGATGTTTCTAATCCACATGTACAGCTAGTGTTTGTATGCAGAGCCCAAGTGTCTGGCATCTGTTACAAAGGTTAAAACTCTCCTGGGAAATACTCTGTAAACATGTCTTTGGTGTCAATATAAATAAACAAAGAGAAGGAGAGATAAATATCAGCAGATTCCATGAATCTGAGGAAATCCAGGTATGAGACATGTAAGTTCTGTAGTAAGATCTGCAAATAAGTACAAGTATGATGGCAGCCTTTCTTCATGCTCAACTTACAATTTTAGTTGGAGAGAGAAATTTTTAAGGTTGTAAAGTGAACAGATTTTTGAAAGCCAACTTCGAAGCTATTAAATGAGTACCAGTGGAATGGAGGCTCTTACTTTACCCCCTACATCAATTAAAATTTAGAATTTGTATCTTTTTTTCTTTTTTCATAATTACATACATGAGAGAAAAGAGATTTTTTGTTTATTTGTTTTGGAAGGGAGATAAACGTGGGAGAACATGATAACATAGTGAGTAATACAGTGAAGGTACATCAGGAACTGTGGGGATGCTTTTGGAAATAAACTGTTTACAGCTTTATAATCTGTCCCTCTCCAAGTTACCCACCCTGTGCCTCATACCCTGCAAGGGAATTGGGTGTAACCCGAGGGAGAAATAAAATCTGCCTTGTGGACTTGCTGTAGTATATTTGTTGTCTAGCCATCCAGAGTATGATAGAAGAATCCTCTGAAAAAAAAAAAGAAATTAAATGGAAGAAGTCAAAAGTA